CTTGGAGGCTTCGGGGTTGGGGTCTTCGGATAGAGCTGTCCCTGCCTCGTTGAGACCCTGCTTGTACTTGATCTGCCGCTCTTGGCACCAGCAAGTCAGCATCGCCTCGCGGCATCGTGCGTGCCATCCGACTGCCCCTCACCAGTGCCGTCCTCCATCTTGTCGCGTAGCGCAGGCTGTCGAAAGAACTCCATGTCAGATCGCGTGCGCTCTGCGTCCTACGCAAGCTCAAACATCACAAACGGTCTGCTCAGATGGCATCAGACACCTCCTTTAGACATGCACTTTAGATGCAATCATCCGATGGGTCCGCGCGGATGACCCTCTGGTTTGACTCCTTGGGGCCGAGGCAAGCTTTCTGGGTTCTTGTTAAGGGGTTTAACTTAAGTTACCATAATAAGGAAACCATAGTACTTACTACAGATCCCTAGTATGGTAGCTTAAATTAAATCCCTTAGCTTAGCACGAACCCAGCTTTGGTAACTCCGCGGCGTCTCTTCTTTACCGAAAGCTTCATCGGAGCAGCTTTGGGGACTTGAATTGGGCACTTTGTTGCTGTGGTTTTTTAACTTAAAACCCAAACCCCCTGCAAAACACAATGACCTTCTTGATTCATGGAAAACCCTACTTCTGGGAATACGAAACCCCTCGTTGGTTTCATGGAAAAAAGCCCCCGGAAGCTTCCCGTCCGGAGGGACGGGCTGGGGCTCAGACATCCAGCTTGCCCGCCCAAGCGCTGAAGATCTTGGAGGTCGGTCCTGTCAGGGAGGGCCGGAGGGGTTTGGGGTTTAGGGGTTGCTTGCGGTTTGGGCAGAAAAATTGGGGATGAGGGTTCGGGGGCTTTGAAGCTTAGTAACGGAGTCGACGTTGGGGATTGTTTAGGGTTGCGGCCCGAGGCCTTATAGAGGCCCTATAAGACGAAAACAGGAAACCCTACATGCTTTTGGAACCCTACGGAACCCTATAAGCCCGTAAGGCCCCCTAGAGAACCATCATAGCAAATCATCCCTTCGGAACCCTACAGAACCCCATGAACCCGTAAGGCCCCCGAGAGAACCCAAATTGTAGCTACCCTTTAAGGAGCCCTGGAACCCGAATTTAAGGAGCCCTGGAACCCGAATCAGCCCTTAGAAACCGAGGGCTCCGCCCTCGCCGAGGAGGTGCCGCCGCCAAAGGGAGCCCCGGCCTCACGAGAGACCCAGAGAGCCCAAGACCCCGAGTAATTCAGGGATACCTAGGGTTCCTTCAAGGGATCTACAAGGGATCTGTAGGGTTTAGGGTTTAGGGCTCCAAGACCCCTAGTAATTAAGGAATATGCCTTAAACCGTAATATGAAGCCCCTTATGAGTGCCCAAAGCCTACGCATAGAGCCCAGGAATCCTCAATTGAGGAAAAAGGCTTAAATCTTCAGCTTCATGCTATGATTTAAGCTATATCCCTTAATTAAGGCGTATTGGAGCCCTAAACCCTACAGATCCCTTGTAGATCCCTTAAAGGAGCCCTAGGTACCCCTTAATCTGGAAACGAGGCTTGGGGCTGAATCTTAGGATGCAGGGCTTAGGTTTAGGGCTTCGGGCCTAGGGGTTTAGGGTTTAGGGTTTAGGGTACAGTTGCGTGACTACACGCCTCTAGAGGTCGTTACATTGCAACCCCAGGGTTTAGGGTTTAGGGTTTAGGGTTTTTTTTTTGAACTCCTTTTCTCCAGAGGCAGCAGTCCGCACTCCGAAAAGGTCTAGGGTTTAGGGTTTCAGGGTGTGTGCAGAGCTTGGGTTTAGGGCTTCGGGCTTGGGCTTAGGGTTTCGGATCTACCTGGACCCTAAGGAACCTACCTTTTTAGGGTTCCCCAACATGGTTTCTTTATATAAGTCTTTAAACAGGTAGGTTACTTAGGGTGAAGGTAGGACTCGGGTTTAGGGCTTGAGGTCTGGGGTGGTAGTGTTGACTTGCGTAATGGCTGGGTTTAAGGCAAGCAGAAGTGGTTTGATCCACCGAAATGGAAAGGTGGACACCAGAAGTGGTTGCAAACCTCCGCCCAACGATCGAAACCACTTCTAAAGGGAACAGCAGGAAAATTTGGCAGCGAGGTTTTCCGAACCGAAACGAATGAAAACGCCCACAACTGTCATTCACAATCACCAGCGGCGCTCAACCCAAATCCGTGTCCCGACCTGTCCCAATGCTCTCGCCACAGTCTCCCCAAACTTGCAAAGCAAAACAGCCAGGGCAAGGCGGAATCTGCGACGCAAACAAACTAAAAACATACTGTGTCACTGTAGAAGTGATGTTACGCAGGTACGGGCGGCTTCTGTTAAGGCTCTGCACGTGGAAAACCGTCCATCATAATAATTCCAAGCACAAAAATTTCCAAAGAATATCAAACCTGAACCATTTTTGGAGAATAGGGCATAGCTGGTCTTAAGTTGGTAGGCTCTGATCTTTTGGGGGCTCAATTGATCGGGATTTGGTCGGAGCCGACCAACTCCCGACCAATTTTTTTGTCCGGAATTGGTTGGGAGTTGGTCGGATCCGACCAACTCCCGACCAACTTGGTTTTTGGCCCGGAGTTGGTCGGGATCCGACCAACTCCCGACCAACTTTTTTGCTTTTGGCTCAGTTGGTCGGGAGTTGGTCGGATCCGACCAACTCCCGACCAACTCAGAGAAATAACGAACTCTGAAGTGGTTTTGTTTTATGTTACATATAGTGAAACCACATGTTTGATCCTTAAAATTGAGTCTCAACCACTTCTGGGTCCACTATTTTTTTCCAAGCCACTTATCAACTTCTTTTTTCTAGGGCGCAAACACTTCTGTGACAATTAAAATTTTGAGTTGGCCGGATCATTTTTTCTCAGTCAGCCGCAAAGCAAAATTCCGAGCCAAGCAGACAAACTGCCCAACCAACCTTGGAGTTTCCAATCAGCCGCCAAAAAATCCAAACTCCCAACCAAGCAGACAAACTGCCCGACCAACTGCTCGTCTTTCCAATCAGCCACTGAAAATCTTAACTCCCAGACTCCCAGACGAACTGCCCGGCCAACTTTGCAGCATCCCAATCAGCAGCTGAACATCCCAACCGATGACACGAACTTCCTGACCAACTTTCCGACGAACCCCCAACCAACTTCCGACTGACGTGTTTCCAACCAACCAGAACAACCTTCTCAGCTGGCTGACCAACCTTCGACCAACTTCCGTCCACATTATGACAGAGTGGGCTCCTCATGCTTTACCGGAAATCAGGATGGTAGTCGATACCTGTTCATAAAAGCAAAATGCACGGATACAGTCCTCGGGCCGGTTGTGACCTAATCACCCATCGAAAACACGCACTGCGCCCGCTCAACCATGGTTTTCACCTCCCGCTACAACATGACATCTGCAAGACAAACGTTGTAACTGCCAGGGGGACCAGGCAGGGTTGCCCAGCGGTACTTTGAAAAGCCCACACCACTTCTTCGATCACTGTTTTTTTGAATTCACTAAACCCAGGCATTGCGCAAGTTAACAGGTGGTAGGGGTTTAGGGCTAGGGCTTTGCAAGGGGCCTGTAGAGTTGCAATAAGGGCTTCATAACTGGTCACCAGGATGCCTGTACTTGGAGGCCCTTTTGACTTAGTAAGTAGGGTTAGTAAGGTGGGTTATGGGGATTATAATAGGGTTTCTAGGGGATACTAAGTAGACTTACTAAGTCAACAGGGCCTCCAAGTAGGGTGTATTTAGAGATTAAGAGAGAGAAGGGTTTCTGCGGGGTTCCATGGGGTTTGAGAGTGGTTTCGGCTACATCTCTTTGTGCTTTCGAGCTCAGGTCCATTGCAGGGCTTTGAGGTCAGAAGTGTAAGCTTTTGGGGCATGGTCTTTAAGACTTGCAAAGAAACCCGTAACTCGACGCTTGGGACGCTCATCTCGGTGCTTGCTGCACTTTGCCCTTCCCACATAGAGGCCTTGGGCTTCCGATCTCGTGTCCATCTCTGCGGCACCTCTGACAGCTGGAATCAAGAGCAATTTCTGAGAGCCAAAGAAGTCTGATGCTGTTGGCGCGAAACACAACATCCTGCAGGAGCATGATACGACCCCGTTTCTGCCTAAGACCTACAAAAGCCATTGTAACAATCCACCCTCCGCCGCCCGCCTGCCCACGGTGCAAGCCTTTGGCACCGGCCATGGGTCGCTCGCGACGGCTCCACTGGAACACTGGGAAACTCGAAGGTTTCAGTAATTCGGGGTTTCGCCTTCCTGATTTCGGAGGTCCCTTAAAAGGGGATGCATGAGGGTTCTGCAAGGCTTCCTATCAGCATGATGTTTTTGGTTTAGGGTTCAGCCTTTTGCGTGCATGAATGCGCGGGTATGAGGGGTGTGTATGCAAGGCTTTCCCAGCGTGCAGGGTTTACAGCTATCACGACCTTAGAATGCTTTTGATGAGGGTTCTACCACCGGCTTGTGCTTTGTTGCGGGGTTGGTTGAAAACTATAAGTCATGGGCACCCCTCACCCTACTCTCCCTGAATCCTAAACCCTAAGCCCTAGATTCTGGGGTTATGGGCTCGGGAATCCGAGACAGCCTGAAGAAGCCTGAGCCAGGAGGAAATGTGCAGCGAAGAGCCAATCGAGCTCTTAAGAAGCTTCCTCTAAGAGTCACGCTGGATTTAGGGTTTAGGGTTTAGAGTTTAGGGTTTGGGTTTTTTTTGGGGGGGGTTTAGGGCCTCGGGAGCAAGTATCGGGCTCCTTTGTTGGCCCTCGTGTTTGTGGAGAAGTTCTCATGCGATAAGGAAGCGACAAGTGCTTCAGGCTGCTTTCCTTCCCCCTGCATTGGACACGACGACTGATTCAGAGCAACTCATGCAAAGAAGCTCTCTTCCAGGATCGCCTTTCTTTCACTTAGGATTCTTGCACCCGACGCCCTGACCCCCAAACCCTAAATCCCAGCGCTAAACCGTAAGCTGCAATGAGGAGTGAAAAAATGGGCGGTGGGCTCTTTTTCGGCTGGCAGCCGAGCGGCGGCACTAGCCCTTCCTTGGCTTGATGTTCTTCTTGGCCATCGCAGCCTGGAGGGTTAGGGCTTAGGGTTTGGGGTCGAGATGTCTGAGGCTTCGAAGTTCTAAGATAGGGATGCAGTTTGGGACTCTGTGCTGGTTCTACCATCGATCTTCTTTTGCTATATAACATGTTCTAAGATAAGGCTTTTAGCATTCTATAGGTCTGCAGAGGAATTGAATTGCTTGCTTGCCGCACCAACTTCCCGCCTCCTTCTGTCTGGACACGACCTGGTTTTCGGGCATCCAGAACCGCTCCGGATTCCGCCTGCACGAAGTCGGAAATGCCGGTAGAAAATGCAGCCAAAGAGGTTCACATACCGCGTCGCTTCATACAACTCAAGGCCCACACCGCTTCTCATCCGTGTGAGGGTATCGCACGTACATGAGGTTGTGGAAAACTTGCCTGAATGGACACGGTTGTCGAGCGGGTGCGCCTGGTTCCACTCGCTTAATCTCAACACCAAGGGGCAGTTTCCGTTGCTCATGCTCGGAGAGGCTTCCTCAACAACAAAGAATAAAGACATCCTTCAAGGCTCTAGAGCATGCAGCAAGAAGCCGACATGCGCCACACTGCTCTGTATCTGGCAAGTCTCGGAAGATCTCTTTGCGGTAGCGGTTGTGAAACAGTAGCCTGAAGAGCAAGCCACTGGCAGGAACAGGTGCTTCGTTCAGCTGCGCTCGCTTTTGCACGAGGTCACTTTGGAAGTCCTTTGTTACATCTAGGCGGCAATTCCTGCAATGAGGACCTAGACACAAGAACCCTACTTGGAGGATCATGGGACTTAGTAAGTAAGGTTACAACTACCTTAATTGGGTTATAAGTAATTATGAGTATAGTTACCTTGTTTATAATTTTATTTGCTAAGTCCCATGATCCTCCAAATTTGGAAAACCCCAAGAGTCTAAGTCCGGCACTCCTCGGGCACCTTCTCCGGCTTGGATGCTACTGCCTCGTACGACAGCTGGTCAGAGACCGCAAACCCGTCTTTTAAGGGTTTTATGGTTTAAACCGTGTTGGGTTACAGTATATACCAAAATCATGTTGAAGATGCCTCAAAAGTTATAAGTTTTAAGTATACTTTCGAATACCGGGTTATGCCTACTCGGCTGAATCTCCAGCTTCCCGACCTCGCTGTAGAGGTCCTCGGGAAGTTGTTGCAAGGCACGCCACCTCAGAGTCCCAAAACACTGAAACCCGAACATGACCCCCGAACCCTAAACCCAAAACCTCTGAACCCCAAACCCCCAAACCCACAGCCCCAAACCCTAAACCCCTAAACCCTAAGCCCAAAGCCCCAAAACCCTGAACCCTCAGCCCCAAACCCAAAGCCCTAACCCCTAAGCCCAAACCCTAAGCCCCAAACCCCAAACCCTACTTGGAGGATCATGGGACTTAGTAGGTACTAGTAAGGTTATAAACACGGTAACTCTACCTATAACTACTTGTAACCCCAATCAGGGCACTTACAACCTCACTTACTAAGTCCCATCATCCTCCAAGTAGACCCTAAACCCTGAACCCTATAGATCCCTTTTAAGGAAACCTATAGATCCTTCTTTAAGGAGCCCTTTTGAAGAACCCTCACTTACTAAGTCCCATGATCCTCCAAGTAGGACGAGGCCCAGACATCCTTTGCTCGGCACGAGCCTCGTGGGCCTCGGCAGGAAGAAGGATCTTGATCTAGGGCTCCTTTAAAGAAAACACCAGGGTTCCAGAAAGGGATCTAACAGGGTTCCTCAAAGGGATCTATCGGGGATTCTGAAAGGGATTTAAAGGGGTTTAGGGTTTTGAGGTCTACTGGGAGGATCATGGGACTTAGAAAAAGTAATTGTGAGTATAGCTACCGCGTTTATAACCTTACCTACTAAGTCCCATGATCCTCCAAGTAGGGTTTGGGGCGTGGGGATGGGGACTGCGGGATGGAGGGGTTTAGGGTTCCGGGGGTTTAGGGTCTTTACGTGCTTTTGCAGGGTTTGATAGGGTTCTAGAAGGTTTTCGAGCGTCTAATAAGGCTTTGTTGGGACTTCATAAGGTTCTTACAAGGGCTTCGTCCAATTCGCCCGGTCTGCAGATCAAAATCTTACCAGGTATCCCATAAGGTGCTGTAAGGGCTCTTTTCGAGCTTTAGGAATCTCGGGTTTACGGCTTGGGGCTGATGAAGACATGAGGCCTTGTACAGGTGCAGCGCCCTCTCGCACATCGTGTTGAACTCCGCTCGCGTCTCTTCGAATTCAACCTGACCAGGCTCGGGGACAAGCGTCAAGGGTTATAAGTTTTGATAATATGGGCTATAACTCTAGACTATAGTTACCCTGCATATAACCCTATTTATGAGGAACTACGAAACCCTAAAACACGAACTTGAGTCTATCCTAAGCTCTAGATGGGAGTTTCCGTCAATAGGGTACCCTAATTAGCACCCTAAATGGTAGGATCTTTATTATAAGGACCCCAAATTAAGGTACCCTAATTTTCGGAAACTCCCAAAAAAAACCAAAACCCCTCAATCCCGGAAGACAGCCGCACTGGGAATCCAGCTTGGTCCTCGGCTGTCTCCTGCGTGCACAGCTTTAGGACTTCAGAGCCGTCGCGGTGCAGTTTAGGGGTTCAGGGTCAGAGGGTTTAGGGTTTAGGGTTTAGGGTCAGAAGGTCAGAGGGTTTAGGGTTTAGGGTTTAGGGTTTAGGGTTTAGGGTTTAGGGTTTAGGAGCTCTACGGCTTTAAAGAAGGTTTCAGGGGTAGACAGCTTCAGGGCTTTAGGGATGTAAGGGCTCTAAGGGTTCAAGGATGTTCAATAATTCAGAGGTCTGACGTGCCTTGCGAAACTCAGCAGCTGCGTCTTGCTCGGATTTAGGCGACCATCTCAGTCACCTACCAAAAGGGCCTCAACATTGAAAGAACATTTGGGTGGTTGTCAAAATTATGGTCCCTTCTTGGCGTCCTTACTATAATACGGCACCTAATATTTAAGGTACCCAAAAAAGGGACCCTAATTTTGACACTACCCATTTATGGCAAAGTGAAATTGGCAATCTCAGCGAATAGAATTATTCAGACATGCATGTTACTTTCACAGGTGGTTACCACGTGCCAGGCACTCAACCCTGAACCCCAAACCGCCGGAACCCTAAAACCGAGACATTCAACCACAGGTACTGCTGCTCAAACCCTGTATCATCATGAAATATGGGGATAAGCACAGGCAACGTCATAATCTTAGAAATCATACAAGCACTTCTGAGTTACTGCTACCACCAACTCCAGTGCTAATGCTAACCCTACTACCGAACTCATTACCATCGAGCACAAGTCCAAATACTAACACAAGTACTGACAGGGGCGCCAGTGATGATGATAACACAGAAACCTAAACCCAAAACCCTAAAACCTAATCCCTCAACCCTGAAGCCCTGAAGAAGGTTTAGGGTTTAGGGGTTTAGGGTTAAGTTTACCCAATTGGCCCTAAACCTCTAACCCTGAGGACAGTACCTGGACCTTCCAAAATCCCTTAATTCAGGAATATACCTTAAATTGTACAGGAATATACCTTAAATTGTAGTAGGATCCCTACTAAAATTTAAAGTCTTTTCCTTAATTAAGGGATTTTGGAAGGTCTGGGCACCCTAAACCCTACACCCTAATCCCTAAACCCTAAACCCTACTTAAAGGCACCCTTAGAGCACCCTTTAAAGGACCCCTAGAAGGACGGCCAGACTTTCAACGGCCATTTTCGCCTCCGGTTCGCGAGGAGAGAAGACCAGGTCGAGGAGAGCCTTCGCACCCAGTGGGAGTGGGGGGGGCCTTAAACAGCTTAGGGTTTAGGGTTTAGGATTTAAGGTTTAGGGTTAACTAACCAGTGGTTTTGGGTTTAGGCTTTAGAGTTTAGGGTTAATACTTCGCACCCAGTGGGAGGGGGGGGGCCTTAACGGGCTTGGGCTTAGGGTTTAGGGTTTTGAGGTTTAAGGTTTAGGGTTTGGGGTTTAGGGTTTAGTGTTTAGGAGGGCCCTTAAGGGTTCTGTTTTAAGGACTCCTGTTTGCCTTAGGGTTTCCAGGGTTTTAAGGAGCTCCTTAAAAGGAACTCTTAAAGGAAACCTTACAGGGACGCTTATAGTCCCAGTACCCTTGTAGACCCCCTTAAAGGATTCCGTTGTAGGGGTTTCGGATTTTTTCAGGTGCTTGTGATGCTTTAGGGCTTCAGGGTCTGTAAAATAGGGTTTTACACTTTTTGGGTTTTAGTGGTTTCGGGTTTTTGGGGATTTAAAAGCTTTCGGGGCTCCGACGCTTGGCCTGCAACTTCAACACCCCAAACCATAAGCCCTAAACTATATGCCTAAAGCCCTCAAGCCCCAAAGCCCCAGAACCTTAACGCACGAAGGATTAGGTTTTCAGGGATTTATGGCTTTCGGGTTGTAAGCCTTCAATTTCAAGACTATGCTCACCAGAAGCGGAATCACTGCTGTCATGAGTATCATGCAACTGCATGATTATTTCCTACTAGTCCTCCTCCACCTCCTCTTCCTCCACCTCCTTCTCCTCGTCCGCCTCCTCCGCCTCCCCTCCTCGGCTTATCGGCTTATCGGCTGATGCGCAGTTACAAAACCGACTTCGCGAGCGCAATGTAATATGAAGCCCTATACAAGTTAAGCCATATTCCTTAATTAAGGGGTATTGGGCTCTCTGGGAAAGCTGCTTCCAGGTTTTGTTGGGTTTCTGGAAACATTTGCGGGTTTGCAGGTTCCTGTAAAGGGGTTCCGAAGCTTAAGGGTTTTGGACTTAGGCTTTATAGGGTTTGAGGTTTGGGGTTTGGGGGTATGTGGAGGTTTAGCACCACCCAAAAGAGGCACCAACTGAAACGTCCTTAGAGTTCAAACTCACGCATACCAAGCATACCTCCAGAGCCGGGGGTTGGTCTAAGGACTTTGGGTTCCCCAAGGCTCGTTAGCTTCCTGTTTAGGATGTTGGCTAGGGGGTTTATCAATGTTCATCATGGTCTGATGGTGATACCAGGGGTTTGCAAGGGGTTGCTTCGCGACAGCCGGTTTTTGGAGCAGCACAGGCAGTGCGCGAAATAGTGGTTGCCTCCAGCAGAGCGGGCAACCTCTCACTGTGCCCAGACGCATGGCCAAAGGGTGGCATCAGCACCGAAGACCTTGCACCTGTCCAGCAAAGGACTCACAAACTCCGACTGCTGCGCCGCATCACCGATACGTTCTTCTTTTCTTCTTGTCCGTGCTAGACTCCTGCAGAAGGCGTGCAACCTCCAGATGCCCGTTCTCAGCTGCAATGAACAAAGGGGTGGTGCCATCCTGCGCGGCCTTGTCCTTGTCTGCATTGCTCTCCAGCAAAAGGCGTGCAACCTCCAGCCGCGCCTCCTGAGCTGCAATGAACAACGGGGTGGCGCCGTCCTGCCAGGCCTTGTCCTTGTCTGCATTGGCCTCCAGCAAAAGGCGTGCAACCTCCAGCTGCCCCTGCTGAGCCGCAATGAACAACGGGGTGGCGCCATCCTGCGTGGCCTTGTCCTTGTCTGCATTGGCCTCCAGCAAATGGCGTGCAACCTCCAGCTGCCCCTTTTGAGCTGCAATGAACAACGGGGTGGCGCCACCCTGCCTGGCTTTGTCCGTGTCTGCATTGGCCTCCAGCAGAAGACGTGCGACCTCCAGCTGCCCCTTTTGAGCTGCAATGAACAACGGGGTGGCGCCGTCCTGCGTGGCCTTGTCCTTGTCCGCATTGGCCTCCAGCACAAGGCGTGCAACCTCCAGCCGCCCCTCCTGAGCCGCAACGAACAACGGGGTGGCGCCGTCCTGCGTGGCCTTGTCCTTGTCCGCATTGGCCTCCAGCAAAAGGCGTGCAACCTCCAGCCGCCCCTCCTGAGCTGCAATGAACAACGGGGTGGCGCCGTCCTGCCAGGCCTTGTCCTTGTCCGCATTGGCCTCCAGCAAAAGGCGTGCCACCTCTGTGTGGCCGTGCTCGGACGCCTCGAACAGAGGGGCCGGATCGCCCAAATCTGGGTCTTGCGGCCTTTGTAGAAAGGTCTCCACTTCTGCTGACAGGCCAATTCTAGCTGCATCCCGAAGTGCGGTCACTTGCGGGTCCGATGCTGGGCAGAAGCTTAGAAGTACGACCTGAGCTTCCCCCGGTTTCAGGGTGCCATCGTCATCTAGAACCACCTTGTCCTCCAGGAATAACAGCCTTTGTCTGAACCTTGACACACCACAGATGCTGTGCAAGTGTTGCTTCAGTGCCCGGACGGGATGCATGCCGGCAGGCTGCGTCTCAAGGAAGCTCGCCAAGTCAAGGGCAACGACTTCTTCACCCGACACGGTCTGAATCCGCAGCATGGCAGATGCTAAGCCGAAGAGAGGTGGACACCAAAGAACAAGCCTAGCTACATGTGCTCTGTTCTTCAAACCAGGCTTGGGCTGTTGATCCGCCTGCTGCGTCCAGAGATGTTGTGTCGTAGATTTTGCGGTCAGGGGTTGCGAGCTTAGGGGTCCAGGCTTATGGTCGAGGGTTTAGGCCTCAGGGCTTTAGGGCATAAGCTTCAACGTTTAGGGCTTAAGGTTTAGGCTTTGGGGTTTGGGGAGGAGCTGCGACGACCAACAATAACAAAGACGAACACCACCTCTACCTCTGCGTTGCTCATAAGCCCTACACTTCAATGACTAAACCCCAAGCCCTACACCCTAATCCCTATATAATTACACCCTATGGGATTTGAGGCTAACTTTAGAAGCCCTACTTGGAGGATCTTGGGACTTAGAAAGTAGAGTTATAACTGCCTAATTGGGGGTTATAAGCACGTATAACTTATAAGTATAGTTTCCTTATTTATAAGCCCACTTACTAAGTCCCATGATCTTTTAAGTAGCTTTTTGGTTGAGTGCCCATCTTTTGCTCGACGATGTCGCCTGGCAAGAAGTAGAAAACACCAGGCAACTCAAGTCTCCCCCGACTGCCACTACTACTACTCCTCCTCCTGCTGGTGCTGCTGCTACTGCTAGTACACCCCTACTGCAACCACTAGGACCAGCACTACCACAGTTACTACAACAACCACAACCATCACCACCTCCTGCTGCGGCTGCACCACTGTTGCCATGATTGCAAGGTCCGCTAGCGTTCCCCCGAGCTTGGAAACCGTCAACCTGATGTGTCATGGCCTGCGAAGAACTATTGCTGATGGACAAAATCCTGCATGACCCTAAGGACTCTAAAATATGGGAACTATGGTATATTCTTTATAAAGGGTAATGCAGGATTTTGTCCATCAACCGTACCATGATCAAAACTCCAAGCCTTAAACCGATTCTGGTTCTGGAAGAACTCGCGTGTCTCCTTCGTCAGCTCATACCTTGCTGAGGAGTCAGTCAGCAGGCCTCCCAGCTATGTTGAGGCCACCATTTCTGAGTGGGCAGCGGTATGCTGTGAACAAGCTGCACCTCCACCCTTAGCATGTGAGCGTTCGTGTCGAGAACTGCGAACTAGTCAAGCGACGCTCAGCAGCACGAGGTTGTGTCAATGTTTTTTCTTCCAAGGCGTACCCGCAGCTGCGGCACGTGTCTTTACATAAAGCATCGCAGAGGTGCTTTTCGCGCTGACCTAGGCCTACCTCCATACATATCCATACCTGCCTGCTTACTTACCTACTGACCTACCTGCCCCAACCTATAGAACCAGACTGCGCCTCCATGTCCACAGAAGAGCCTCCCCTAAACCCTAAACCCAATCCCCATGTTACAGCCCTCAGTCATCGAGCTCATGTCCGAAGCACAGCTCCTGGAAGGAGGACTTAAGCATGAAGGGGCCTTATAAAGGGGTCTACAAGGGTTAAAATAAGGGGATCTATAAGGGTACTATAATATAGGGCCTTAGTAATCCTGTAGCTTACCTTCGGTTAGTAGGGAATGGAAGAATGGTAGTAATAGTAGTAATAATTGTACCCCATTCCTCCATTCCCTACTAACCAAAGGTAAGCTTAAGCATGAAGGGCTGACGAACTATGGCCTGCAATAGCTTCAAAAGGATACAAAGTCCCCGAGACCAGTGCAGCAAAAAGCCGAACGACTGCTCCTTCGCTGACGTTCCACGGCGCAGCTGGGCATGTGCTGCTCGGAACTCCTGCTATAAGGGCAGCACGACGGAGAGACGCCGCACGTGCGATGCAAGAAGCGATGCAAATGCGCCTCTCTCAAACGCACCAACTGTCCCAGCTCCACCTCAGCGATTTCAAGTCGTTGTGCAATCTACTAACTGCCGCTGAGAGCCTGAGGCCCTCACGTTTGCCACGTCTTTGCCTGCGCAGGAACACTCCAAACATCGCCGCCAAGAGTCTTTCGGGCGCTGAAGAATGCATCGGCACAGCACTGCCTGGCTCGAAAGGGTTGTCCACGAAGTAGAACTGCCCAGAGTAGCTGGCAGATCGCCATACGGCAGCGGACGCACCGCTTCGAATGGCAATCACACCACCTTTGTACCTCAAGAGTCAATCATTCCTGCCATCTCCTTCTCACATGCCATGTCGAGCACACCGAGACTTCCCCATGTGCAATCAAGCTGCTCGACCCCGTAATACCGGAAAAAATCCATCAACCAAGTTCCCAGGCTTTCGTTTGACGATGTTCTGAGAGATGCCAGCTTGGACTTTTCTCTCTCAATGAGTTCTGTGTTCGATGAGAACCTGCAGTCGGCATCCATGACGGTGTGGCGCGGGTCACCGTTCAGAATGGCGAGGTCTTGCAGTGATGGTAGCACCCTCCTCCTGCAGGCTGACAACGGATCCAAGAAAACTTCATATCCAGGAATCCAGTCCTCTCCTCGGTCAACTCTGGAACTCTGCTGGAAACTACCCGCGAACCTTCAAGCTCTCTAGCCTGCCCCGCCTCTGCAAGAGGTGAACCGCCATCAGGGTGAGGGCAAACGAAGACAGTGTTCCTGCGAGGCGCTTGCACCACATCTACCCTGAACTCACAAAAAACAATAAGACCCTCACCCCCGACTCCTTGAATCCAGCAAAAAGAACAAACCCTCAAAGCCTGTCGAAGCCTCATGCTAACCAGAAAATTTAAACCCCAAACCTTGAACCCTACAGTAACTACAGGAACCCCAGAGAACTAAAAGAAAGAGCCTCGGCTTCGATCGTTGATCCCACGCTCAGAAGCCCAGGTCTTCACGACAACAAGCCTTGAGCGATGCAAGGGTTTAGGGTTTCGGGCTGAAGGCTACCCTAAATCCTAAAGCCTGAACCCTAAACTACAGCAGGTACTCCTAGATCCCTTATCTTAATGATTCTTTTCCGCAAATCTTATTAAGGTTCCTACTATAATTGAGGGATATTCCTGGGAGATTGGGGATCCTCTAGCCGAAGCTCCCTAATCCTTTTAGAAAGGGGGGGCCCAGGAAAAGCCCTAAACCCCCAAGATCCAGAAACAGTAAAGCTTTAAACCCCAAAAGGATCCCTTTTTTCCTTCCTGACGGTTTAGGGTTTTGGGGTTTAGGGTTTAGGGTTTAGGGTTTTTTTCCTTCCTGACAAGGATCCAAGGCACATCTGTCGCAGCAGGGGCTCCGCAAGCAAGTACGCACTCACCAGCCTGTCATCGAGCTCAGGGTGTCGTGAAGGTTCAGGGTTTAGGGTTTAGGGTTTAGGGTGTAGGGGCTCCGAAAGGATAGGTTTCTGTTTGGATTAAGTTCTTCGAGTTCCATAACGTCGAGCTCAGGATTCAGGACTGCAGGGTGTCGAGTTTTAGGCTGCTTTAGGGTTTAGGCTCTAGAATTCAGGGTTTGGGATTAATACAAAAGCTGTCATGTCGCCCCCATCCGAAAAAGAGCCATAACCTTGCAATCTCATGTTTTTGCTCCGTGACCTTCAGGTGCTTATTGACAACAACGAGGGATGAGAGAGCTGGCCCTATATCATCTGGTTCCTCCGATGCGAATTTAAGTCATGCCCGCTGTGGCTCTGCGGTTTTGGGTTCCGGGCCGCTTAGGGCCTTTCATTGCCGACATGGGCACCTTGAGTTCTCCACTGCCAGCAGGTTGTTCACGGTAATGTCAAAGCAAGGCAGCGTCTGGCAGGGAAAGGCAAAACGGATTCAAGATTCGTGGACTTTTTGGGTAAGCTCAGGGTTTGAGCTTAAGGGTTTAGGGCTCAACCCCCTGTGTCCACAAAAGGTCGGAACCTCCTGGGAAGCCACACGGCTTGGCATCCAACGAAGCAGCGGCACTTTGGCCGCAAGTCGGTTCTCGGGCTTGTCTCCCGAAAACCTGTTCAGCAAAGAGGTTTTGAGGCCTTTCAAGGTTTTAGGGTTCAGGATGCGCTTTAGGGTTTCGATTGTTTGGGATTTTAGGTGTAGGGCTCCGGCCAGGCATGAAGCTGCGGACACCGTGCTACTTCATGACTTGCACCAGGGCACGCATAGATAATGGATGCCACCCGGTGAAGAGCTTGCTTTGTCTCCGTGCGGCCAGTATGAAGTCCAGGCATCTGAGGCAGATCGACAAACTGACCAGTAATAGGAATGATGACAACAATACACCGAAACGGTAACTATAACCTTGACCCTGATAATATGAATACTAACAATGATGATATCTTGGGCAGCAATAGTAAAGATCGAAACATTAGTTCTTTCTGATACTATGTACTACTGACCTAGTTGTCCAACTTCTCCAGGCAGCAAACGATCGGCCTTCAAGCTGAGGTCAACATCACGACCAGGCAACCAGAGACCTGTTGCTGGACTCTTTAAAGCTTTAGGGCTTTGCTTTTTTTGCTAAGCCTCCCTTTCGGTCCGCCATCAGCCTCTCCAAACCCTGTTTGGTCGAGCATATGGGCTGCCATTATGGCAACCCGATTTCGACAAGTTTAGGCGCACTCCGACTCAGGCGACATTGACGAGGAAACTTCAATGGACGCCCATGAACATCATCAGACACTCCCCTGACCCTTGCCTTCCTTCCCCCCGTTTATGTGCTCTTCAAGCACAGTCTGTACCAACCCTTCTTCAGGCATCCCTGCAAGTGGTGTATTCAGGGTGTAAGGCTTAGGGTCTACAGTTTAAGGGCTTAAGGGCTTAGGATTTAGTGCCTGTCTCTCACAAGAACTGCGCAGAGATGCACAAGGCCTGTAGCAGCGGAACCGAATGTCACAAGATCGGAACCAGGCATCTCAACCTGCAGACAACGACTTTCAAATTACTGGGTTCTTGTTAAGGGATTTACTTCAAGGCACCATGTTACTTCAAGGCACCATGAAAGGGATCCATAGTACATACGTAATATGGTTTCCTTGTTATCGTAGCTTAAAGTAAATCCCTTATCAGGAACCCAGTTACACTTGCAGTAGAGCATTGACAGGAACACTCTATTGGAAAGGCCTGTACACGTCGTCGAAGTTCCTGCACCATCTCATCACGGAGCACCTCTTGCTCCTCTGGAAAGAAGACACCAGTGGTGCAAGCCTACGTACGACCGTACATCAGCTTACACTCTCTTCCCTAGCCTTTGCCGGCAACAGCGCCGTGGCCAGGTTCTCCACCTGCTCCGTCAGCTGCCGGCTGCGGCCCTGAGATCTACGGCCTTCCTGCGCTTGGCGGTGCGAGGGGCGAGAGCCTGGCCGAGGGCCAGGAGCACGGGTAGAAGCAGGGAGCAAGTAGCGGAGGGAGGGAAAGGGGAAGGAGAGAAGAGGAAACGGAGAGGGAGGGAGAGAGGCCTCGAAATCCCTACGACGGCCTTCCTCGACCTCAGCTTGCTGCGACACCCGGTGATCAGAGCGCGGCGGTACCTTTCTGTTGTTGCTGCTCTCACTCTGTCAGTTCTAGATTTCAAGACCCGTCTGAGGTTGTATGTAGTATCATGACTATGGTGCTTCTGATTCTAGTTGTTCTTAGTGGCATGCCTACTGGTGTGTGACCAATTATCTATGAAAGAACATGTGTCTGCGATTCCGACTACGACTGCGACCGACTACTTCTACTTCTGCTGCTGCTACTACTACTGCTACCACCACCACCACCACCACCACCACCACCTCTTCTGATAGTCCTACTAGGGTACTATGACCGTATCGATTACCTTTCCAAGTTTCTCACCATTCTCCTTAACATCAACATCATCATCAGCCTCCTTAGTTTTATGATACCTGCGTAGGCCAAGCACCCAGGCCAAGCCAGGCGCTGACGATGACGCCCTGCCGACCTCCATCAGTGGCTCGCACAAAACGGAGCAGATGTGTCGGGCTTCTGTGGGACGTCTGCCGTAGAGGGCTTTTGGTTTAAAGGGGCTTGGTAGGGTTTTCTTACCTTTGGTTAGTAGGGAATGGAGGAATGGGGTACAAGTATAACTACTGACTACCATATTACTACCATATTACCACCATATCACTATCATATTACTACCATACAACTACTATTGCTACCATTCTTCCATTCCCTACTAACCAAAGGCAAGTTTTAGGATTACTAAGGCCCCTCTATGATAGTACCCTTCTAGATCCCCTTATAGTAACCCTTGTAGACCCCTTTATAAGGCCCCTTCCATTCCCTACGAACCAAAGGCAAGTTTTGGGTGTTTGGGGTCTGGAGATCGGGGGTTAAGGCTAGTAGGTCCTCGGGCCACGGTAGTAATATGATAGTAATTAATATATATATATATATATATGTATATATATATATACATATATATATATATGTATATACATACATATATATGGTAGTAATATGGTAGTAATAGTAGTTATAATTGTACTTAATTCAGGTGCGAAGCATGAGCGTTGAGAGTTCAAGATTCAAGGTAAGGGCTTGAGGGGTTTAAGGCAGCGGTTGATGTTACTCGTGTTTAAGGCAATGGTTGATGTTACTCTTCTGACTCTGGTGACTCTTCTTACTTATGCTACTCTTCTGACTCTGGTAGTAGCTTTCCTAGGTGGGCCTTTTGAAGCTTTTGGAAAATATTAGCAAGTAAGATCCTCTTAAACCCGATCAGGGGAAATATAAACTGTCCCAAAAGCCCTACCTAGTTTCTATTCTGACTCCTGCCACTCTCATTTACTCGAGTGGTTGTCGAAACTATGGTCCCGTTTTGGGTCCCCTAAATAGGGACCCAGGGACTACTCTAAGGATCCATTCCCCCGATTCCCTAACCCCTGAACCCTAAACCCTATAGATCCCCTTAAAGGATCCCTTAAAGAGCCCTATAGAAGTTAATTGCAGGGCAATCTCTGATTCCAAGACACAGTGATGATAACGCTTCTTTTGTGTCTTGAGCCAAAATATCGGTGATAACGTCTTCGAGTGAAACTGCTTCAAGATGATCTACATAAGAAGGGCCTGGGGGCTCGTGATTTCTCAACTCCCCCCTTGTAGACAGCGTGAAACAGTTACTTACAGGAAACTAGTTCTACTGCGCGGCACTCGGAAACCTAACTCGTCTAACAACTGACCACCCTTTACCTTGGTTAGCGGGTAGACAAAGTTGTACGATCCTGGATCGTTGTACTTGTCAGTGTGCAAGTCAAACTGACAACCGAACGAACCTTGTGAGGACACGCGTAACCCCCCTGAACTTGGACGTATTGCTCCTTAACCCTACTATGCCACCTCCATGTGCATACGCTCCGGTTGTAAATCCCTTACCCTCGGAAGAGACAACTGGGCGAGACGAAGAATCTGGAGGAAGAAGGTGGAACAGCTGCAGAATATTATTTTCTGTCAGTCTGTGTGGCAGGATGCCGGCAACAGACTCAGGATCAGTATCTGCAAGAGGATCTTCAGGAACGAAGTTCTGTGATGGAGCAGCAGGTATCGGGGCATTTGCGGAACCCTCAGACAGGCAAAGCTGTTCCAGCATGGATGGCCACTCTTGGGGGCTCAAACCCAAGGATATCGCCTAAATATTCTTGAAGGTTTTCTACCTCTGAGAACATGGCGGTCGCGAGAGAGATCGTTTCGGCCTCTGTCGTGGACCGAGCTGTGGAGGATTGCTTACGCGATACCCAGTGGAGTGGATACGCGCGTGTAACTCACCGGTGCTGTTAAGCTCGCTGTCAGTTGCTTGGTTCTCGGGGAAAGCAGGTGACGCTACTTTGCGAAGCTTACTTTTCTCTACACCGGTCATTTCACAATAGAAATCAACAAGTTGCTGCGTGTAAGCAATCATGTCAAATTCACAAGTGGCTACTGAGTCATCACGCGTGAAACTGTGATGCCGCCCTAGAATCCTACAACCATTATTGCCGCCTTGAACAAAGACCTCTGGTTCAAGTTTCACAAGACCACGGAGCTTATGCCAGAACTGGGAATGAAGCTCTACGGGTCCGCTTAAAGTCAAGTCGTCGACGTAGACATTAAGCACTAACTTCTGGGAACCGAACTCGAAAACCCAAGTGCTAGGGTAGGCGGGAAGTTCGCGACCTCCGAGCCTTTTCAACTGAACGGTTAAGTGGTCTTGCCATCTCTTACCCGATTCTGGGTGCCCGTATAGGCTTTTCTCAAGTTTAACTACAAGACGGCTGTCGGGAGGGAACCTCTGGGTCCACTCGGGGAGCCAGAGCTCCCGAGGGATTATTACCCAGGTCTCTCGACCGATCTTCGCTTGCAAGTATGCTTGGATAGCATCTGCCACAGAGGTCGCGTGACCGGGGCGGAGCCCGTAAAAGAGGCAAGCGGCAAGACCTACCAACCCGGTTGGTGTAGTTGCAGTTTCTTCTGAGCCGAACAGCACTGGGTTACCAGAAGCGTCGCGCACTTGGTCCCCCCTAAAGACTACACGGCCTTTGTACTTGTGCTGTGTTGGGTGCAACTCAAAGTGCTTTACACCACAAAGCGTCAGAAGTTCAGCGATTTGGACTCGGCGTCCAGTGTTGCGGCAATCCTGTTTCAGTTGCCACAAATGCATTACGGAATCGTCGCTCCATGTCTGGTTTGAGCGGAGTCCTACACCCTCAGCCTGAACAGCCTCTAAACCTCGAGCATCCTTCAACCATTCGCTCTTAGCAAGATTGCGTGTCACTAACGCATTACTTGACGACAACGAAGGTGTGTGGCGATGGAAGTGCTCGGGGAAGAATGACTCGACTATCAGCTGAGCGACTTGTGAGTTGTAGTCGCTATTGGCATAGGAATCGTCTCCTTTCGACACACTTTGCGAAGTGGACTGGCTGTGCTCGTGTTGTCCAAACAGCTGGAGCACTCGAAGAGAAGTGGTGCTGATGCACGACCGCTTACCAGAGGAGCATCCGCTGAGCATTACTCTTTTCAAGTTCGCGCGCTTCTCGAACTCAATCCAATCAGACTCGTTCCAGAGCCAACCCCCTTCTGGGCAGTCGACTGCAACATGGCAGCCGTTGGAAAGCTTTTCTTCGGCTAGCGAGATTGCGAGTTTCAGCATTTGGCGACACTTCGCCCGGCTCTTTCTGAGCTGTGCTTTCTTACTCGCTCTATGTTCGTGCACGGTTGGGTGTTGTTGTGCTGTTTGTTCAAGGCATAACATAGGCATCCAGATCACAACGCCTTGCTTTATCTGACCTTTGGCCTGATCAACATGAGCTGGGTCTGAGAAGTCTATCGTTGAAGATCCTATGTTAAGACAATCAACCCCGTACATCGTGCAGGCAAAACCAATCTCGGAGGAGTCGCTGCAGCAGTACTCGACAAGTTGGTTTGTACTCGAAGCCTTAGACCTACGGATCTGGCGATCTCGGGCTACAAAGCTGACATCTGGAACGAACAACTCCTGATTTACCAATGCTCCTAACCCTCCACCAAAGTCGTCGGAATCCTCGTCCGGATGAGCGGGTGATCTTTCTGCAGCATCGGGCGCTATCTCTGCCGGAGGATCGGGACTAAGAGGTGCAGGAGGAGGAACTGGCGTTGGAGGAATACTGACTGGTGTCGGAGGTACCGATTTGATACGGGCCTCGGCGGTTTTGTCGGCACGCACTAACCCATCAAAGCGAACCTTGCACACTGGAGAATGAACCACAGCTTCGCCTTTGCAAGCCTTGCATCCCGGGGTTATCCCGTATTTTATTATACGATCAAGAGTGATATACTCGTGCCGCTTTGCTGGCGTAGAGTCGGGGCCAAGTGGGCTGAACGGCACTTCTAAACCCTTAATGTCCGGAAACTTAGGTTCAGTGAATCCCTCGACCGCACGCTCGAAAGCGGCGCGCATCGGGAAAATCTCTTCACCCTCGGGGACAAACAACTCTTCAAAGGGCACCGAAATTGCAAGATCGTATCCAGGAGTACCGTCTTTGGTTTTCCGGTAATCTAAAACAAGGTAGACCCCTCTAAAGGACTCCGGCCCTGAATCTAACCGATAACCACAAAACAAAGCTGGTGCGGCGGAAGGTTCAAACTTCTCTCGGTGTTTGGGATCAGTCCTGTAGTACACGAGCTGACCTAGAAGTAGAAGACGCCCGGGGAACTCCTCACCGGTGGCGGCTACGTAACGGGACTCCTTACGGTCGGCAATGCTGTGCTTAAGGTTCAACACAAACGTTGCAAATACCGCCGAATGAGCCCAAAGACCAGGTCTTATTGCAAAACCGGCTTGTAAATGTACCGCGCGGGTGACCTCTTGGATCGACCTGATGTCCCGCTCGAGAACAGAATTATGCGGCCAACGATTAGCTAATGTGGGCTCAGAGACCCAAGACATTTGCTGGCAAGCCGATTCAAGTTCTTTCGCGTTGTCTGACTTGAACATGACGACAGGCTTCGACTCCGCGTGCTTACCGGAAAATTGCAAAAGTGCTCTGACTACGTTTTCTGTTGTGCGCCTGACTAGGGGAAAGGAGCGCAAGTAGCCAGAGAATTCATCGCGCACTACAAGCAAGGTCGATTCACGATCCTCTTTGGAAGACTCCTTGAACACGACTACGATGTCCGCCGCGACGCGTTCACTGAACGCAGTGGTTGGCTCTAGCGAACCGCGATCATGCAGCGGGTCATGTCTAAGTTTGTTTGTCTTCCTAGCGTACATTCTGGCCTGTGTACATATTTTACAGGCTGGGTTCTTAGGGAAATGGGCTAATCTGTGTTCACAAGAAGCAGAATCCTTGATCAACCGCGCCGTCTTAACAGCTGGGATTTCTTCTTCACGCTCTGAGTCCGCATGTGCCTCACCGGGCTCGGCCTCAGGAGGCTTGGGATCATCACCTTCAAGCGGTACCTCAGAGGGCCCTGCTGCACTAG